TTTAAAATATTAATTTATTAATAATACTATTTCAAGTCAACTCGAGTCAAGTCGAGTTTGAGTCGAGTTTAAATCAAATCGAGTTAAATATTTAACTCAACTCGAATTTGATTTGATTTGCAAATCATCGAGTCAAAAAAATATAAACTCAACTCGATTTAAACTCAACTCAGCTTATCTGACTCGTAAGTTAACTCGACTTGTTCGGAACTCTAGATCGCATAGTGAAGTGACTTAATTAACTTTATTATGTATATATTTGTTAATTGATTTAATTTTCTGTGTACTTTGTGCTCTAGTAGTAAATCTTTTATGTATCCAAAATGTTATTCACAATTTTTTATTAACATAAAGTGTATCAAATAAATACTTTACTAATGCTAGATATTGATTGATTAATTGATTCTATCGAAATTCAAATAGGTCTTTATAAAGAGAATTTCTATAAGTATAAAACTTATAATGAAATTCCTCAACTTATTGCTTAATTTACTTTTAAGCTTTTCTGAAAGTTCAAATTAATATGAAAAATATACAACATGTAGTAGATATTAGAATAAATTTTTTAATTGCTTAAATCATAAAAGAATCTGATCAATAAAATAACTCTAAGAGAAATACCTATTTTAGTAAGTATAGTATTAAATAACTATTAATAAGTATTTAATATTTTATCATTAATTATGGCAGATGTAACAATTCATAACTTATAGTTATTATCAACTATAAATATGATGCAAAACATTATTTGAAATCAGTTAGTATTATAAGTGGTATCAATAATTGTAACATTATTGTATTTGTCATATAATTCTTTTTATATAAGAAACATCTATAAGAGGGTATTTAATTTCTTGAAACAGAGTCTAACTGAAGTTTACAATCTAGTAAGTTTCAGCATCTTTCCATTTTATTAATAGTTTAAGTATCTGAAAAGCATCTATATCTTCTGGGTTGTTTTTTTGATAAAACTAATAAATTGCATTATACAAATCCTTTTTATATATAGATTGTTCTAGATAATCATGTTTAAGTAAAGGATAGATAGATGATGAGTTTATTCAACCTTGAATCATAAACTTTTTAATATTTACTAGCATCTTAAGTATTAATTTACAAAATTATAATGCTATTTCACAAATTATTGAAGTAAGTAGGTGATTATATTTATTATTAAAAGAGTTGATCTTTACAATACTACTTGTTTTTAGATAGGTAACATTTAGTTTTCAGAGGCATAATATTCTTAAAAGATTAGTATTACATCTTTTAGTTGGATCAGAAGTTACTTAAGAAGTATATGAACCTGATTTAGCATATTCATAAGCAGCCTTTTGTATCACATCTTTAACTTTCTCACTTGTTCTAATTTTATAATTAAAATCTTCTTTTAAAGCAAACCTGTTAATCCAACTCCTAAATTCGTTCCAGCTGTTAAAGGTTAATTCAGATATCAATTCCAAAGAATCTGTAAGCTTATTATCATCATCATTATTTATTTCATAATCCTATAAGAAGGAAGAAGGAGGAAGAGAGAAAAAGATCAGAAATACTAATGATTAGAATGTTTAGAGAATGAAATTTTAACATACAAAAAAAAAGTGTATTACTTGATACAAAAAAGTTGAAATATTAACGTTTTAGTTATCATATGATAAATTTTTACAGATAGCATTATTATGAGAAAAATTTTCACAAATATCATAATTTTTGTAGGTGTCATAATTAGATAAGTTTTTATAGGTATTATCGTAAAGTAAATTTTTGCAGATAATATCATGAACAAAATTTTTGCAGATGTTATCGTCAAATAGGTTTTCACAAGTATTATTATCAAATATGTTTTCGCAGATATCATCATTATAAGGTAAGTTTTTACAAATGACATCATGAGAAAATTTTTGTGAATTTTATAAGTTAAAAAGGTATCATAAAGTAGATTTTTATGGGTATCATAAGGTAAATTTTTGCAAATGTCATAATAAAGTAGATTTTCATGAGTGCCATAAGGTAGATTTTTCTAGGTATTATAATAAAGTAATAGATTTTGTAAGTGTTATTATAAGAAAATTTTTACGGGTATTTTCATAAGTATTATTATATAGGATATTATCATAGGCATTATCATATAGTTAATTGTTAGAAAAATCAGGTTCTGGGAATTTTTTAACAAAATTGAGATTTTTATTGCATTTTATTTCTTGATATTATTAGATTAAAATGCATTAAGCTCTTAATTTTAGTCAAAAATTTCTCAGAATCTGATTTTCCTAAAAATCCTTCTATATTAAATATCATGGGTATTATCATATAGAACATTATCATAGATACTATTCTTAGATATCTTATAATAAAGAGAAAAGAAAATTATAGAATAAAATAACTAGAGTTCTGAATGAGTCGAGTCGAGTCGAGTTTAAAGACCAACTCTATTCGACTCATTTTTTTCAAGTCGAGTCGAGTCAAATTT